TCTTCCTGCTGCTCAAGTTCTCCTGCTTTAGTTCAACTGCTGTGTTTAACTGCTGCGCACTCATTCAAAGCCGCACTCCATCATAAGCAGCACCCCCATCAGAGACTGTGCCCCCCATCAGAGATCTCCCCCATGAGCTGAACTAAATTTATAGGGAGATGCTCAAATGAGCATTCAACTCCGCCCCAATTAGAAGCTGATAAGGCTCACATGAATAGTGGGGGATGTTTCTTAGGAACCAGGCCAGTCATAAACCTGAGTGCGCCTAGAGGTGAGGACAAGTCAACAGATACACAAATATAATTACAACATTTGTTCAGAATTTAACAGGAGTCAATGCGTTTGTCTGGTTAAAAGTGGAGGTAGGAGATAAATGCAGTTACCCAGAGAAGAACAGCAGGAGTCAATGCGTTTGTCTGGTTAAGAGTGGAGGTAGGAGATAAATGCAGTTACCTGTGAAAGTAGAGAAGGCATAATTAAAGTGCTGTGTTTAACTGCTCCGCACTCATTCAAAGCCGCACTCCATCATAAGCAGCAGAATGAATGATGAAAAACACCGGAAACATATTTACAGGTGCACTTAGATGGAGATGAAGCACCTCCTCCTAGAAGGAAGCCCATCATCAACAACAATGGTTCTTCTTGTTCTTGCACAGGAGGCGACAGCCATCTGTGGACACCTGCAGAACAGTGGAAGAAAGGAACAAACATAGGAACATCACATTCCTAACTCTGAGTAGCTAACTAACTAGGCAGTTTAATATACTGTCTGTTCAATTAGCAAGAAACTTAAAGAGGAGCCCCTCCTGGTAGGATAATGAGGCCAGGTGGTCTCCCTGCAGCTTTCCCCAGATCAGCACACCTGGGAAATGAAGGGACTGGAGTCCAGCCTAGTCCATAAGAAAGAAGAGAACCTGCGGGGCTGGAATCCTGCAACATCCATTAGGTCAAAAGTACATGGCCCCATGTATAAGAAATAGAATAGGGTCCATTTGTCCAGTAACAAAAGTCTGGGATCAGGGATCCTGGCTAAAGTACTGTTTGACCCTAGAAGTTGCTCAACACCCCTGTCGCTCCCCACTGGCTCACCCGACAAAGAAAAGTCATCTGAATCCAGCTCCTTCCGAGCAGGGGTGACAGAGTGGTCTTGAACAGCCGGCCTCTCTGGGACATCTGCTGGTTCCATCTGGGCAGTATGTGTGGGCACCTGCCCCTCAGCAGCTTCTCTGGGTGGGCAATATATGACAGAAGGCAGCCATCCTCCACTGTATGGGTCTGCCATCGGTGTAAAGAAATCACAGTCCCAGGACTCTACCCGATCTGTATCTCCAGCTCCAGATATCTTCCAGCCTTCCATCTCTCCAGCCAGAAAACATGTGGTACATCCGTACTGCAGCCTCCACCTTTCTTCTTTCATACTGTCCCACAGCGTACTGGGCAGACTTGAGGGCATGGCCACACGTTCAAGTCAGACACTTTGGCGCCAGTGGGACTGCCCTGTAGGAATTTTCCCTGCTGGTGTTAACCCCTGCTTCTCAAAGCAAGGGTAGACTGACTGGACTGCAGGCGTTGCTAAAGCTGAATCTGAGCAGAAAAACGTCTACTGGCCAGGAGAGGACACTTAGCTCCAGTCATTGTTGGATGACTGGGTGTCAGCAGTAACAGTAGAAACAATGATCGGCAGCAGTTGCTACGGGCAACAGCGAGGCACTGGACCCCCCCACTAAACATTGTTGTAAAGAGAGCCACGGTGCCCAACTGATGCAGGGCAGCTGAGAACTTGTAATCCACAGGGTTGCAGGCCATTCTGGTTACCACAGACAACGACAAGCACAAACACATGGAAATCACTGACTTTAGCCAAAAGGTAACGTAGCAGAGCAAAGCTCTCTTTCTGTAGCAACACTTGGACGAATTCTTCAGAACCCCAGCCAGAGTTCTTTTCTTTCCTCACCCATGCTGCCTATCAAGCACCAGGGGAGATAGCAAGCACACAGAGTCCCCAAATTCCTCATTGTCTGTACTCACAAGGCCCAGGGACAGAATGGTTCCAATCTTCCAAGCGAAACTCTCCAGTGATACCAGACAGAGCTTTGGCAGACAGCTCCCCTCAGTCAGCTTACTGTAGAACCAGGGTCATTCTTTCTAACTTCAGGCCCTTAGGTCACCCATCCAAGGCCCGCTTGGCACCAAGTGCCAGGCGAGGCAAGTCTACCTCCATCCTGTCTTGGTTCAATCCTCCCCCGGAAAGAAGCTGAACCCATGTGCTCAGAGAACATAAATACCACTCCCAGCATGCAATGGGACTGCCTTCCCTTGCAATTTTTTAGGGTTTTATCCATATTCATGCTGCCGATTTGCTTCGTTCCCTCCCAGGTTGTGGAAGGCTCTTTCTGAAGGCGGGCAGAACTCAAACAAATTCAGGAGCACCAGAGCATCATGAGCAGACCTGACTAATACATCACAGCACTCTGTTAAGCAGAGAGCCCAACTAGATTTTCCTAACAGCTTTGCTTAACATAACTATACAAATCCTAGCACCTACCTAGGAGGGTGCCACATTTTGATTCCACCACATGAAGAGCTGGATCAACTTACCCTGAAAGGGATAGCAACAGTAGGAGTTAAACGGATTTAGCATCAGATATATTTATCTACTGTAATATTAAGCTGATATGCTTAAAATGCGCTTGGTGAATACGTCCTTTATTTTCTTTTTCTCGTGTATGACACACTTCAGCAAGTTGTACCGTGACACTGCACATTACCGTCTTGTTTTTGCAGATGTATGCAACAAAATCTCTGCTTTTAGCGCAGGATGTTGAAACTGTTTCATTAGTTTTTTTTTTATGTTGCCCAACTAGCAGTTTTGGTGGGAAATTTTTGGATTGTTTAGTAATACTAAACACTTAAAATAAAAAATATTCTAAATACCTTTGTTGAATCATTACTTTTCGTTACTTGTTTATTAACCCTTTTCTAATGCCCCAGAAACGTATTGATTACAAAACATTCATAATTGCACATATTTCATCCACAATATCATAAATATCAGGTGTCCAATTTCATAAATCTATTATTTAAATAAATGTGTGGCCATTCCCCAGTTTTTGCTTAGCTGCTATTCAGTATTGCTCAAAATTTATACTCCATCTTCCATTCCAAAAGCAATAACACATTTTATTTAAGTAATATAAGTAAGAACTAGGCACGCTAGATCACTCAAGTTCATTTAACTGCTCACATAGGAAGCTGAGTTGTATTTCAGAGTTGCTTTTAAGCAGAGCTCCAGTGAAAAACGACAAGATAAAGATAAATAGCCCAATAAAAGATACAAATAACAAAAAGTTTAAAACACATTTTGCTGCAGTATTTGTCTCCAGTCCATAGATTTTCCCTGCAGTCCTTTTTCTGCAGCTAGATGTCCTTGCCTGTTGTCCACCACCATTCAACCCACTTCCTCTAAGCCCTGGTCATTCTGGACCCAGACTGTGGCTGGAAAGGGGAAGTAGTACAGTAATGAGCTCAAATCTCTATTCATTCTATTCTCTTCCTATCAACATGCTTCTTGTCAGCATGTGAACTGGTTGCTGGCTCCTGGTTCTGCTTTTTTCCTCTCATACTCAGTTCCTCCTGTACATGAACTGCAAAAGGTTGATACCAGGTAAGATTGAAGGTTTTTTTGACCTTCATGAACTCCATGCATGAAGGTACACAAAATTCCATGTGCTGCTTCCCCCCACAGCCCTCTAATACTTATCTGAGCCCCATGTCGATCCAATGCTGTGCTCTCCTTATTGGCTGAGACATGAGGAGGATCGGGCCGCTCTGTACAAAACCACGTCATAGAGCAGGTATTTTTTTTTCTAAACCCAAGCCTTTAACACCTTCCCGCCTCGCCATCAATTTGCTATACACCCCTCGTTGTGACTGGGTGATGTATGACATCCTGTCAAAACGACCCGCTTCTGTTGCCACGGGGCCGCGCAGCGGGGCGATCTGTCATTGGTTGTGTCCACAGGACACATCCGATGAGATATCTCTACACCGGCCCATTGCCAGTGTCATGTGATCGCTGTGACCAATCAGCAGATCACATGTCAATTGTCCTACGGACACAGCTGATCACGTGATGTGGTAAAAGGCAAATCACAGCGGCCTTTTACTACATGATCAGCCGTGTCCAATGACACAGCAGATCACCGTTAAATGCTGTTACTGGTTATCGGCTGCACTTTCCTCACGCTGTCACAGCGTGAGGAAAGTACTGCTGATAACCGGCAATTGTCAGAGGACAGAGAGGCACCGATCATCAGGGCACTGATGATCAGTGCCCTGATGATCTGTGCCCAGCAGTGCCACCCACCAGTGCCCAGCAGTGCCAGCTATCAGTGCCCATCATTGTTGCATATCAGTGCCAGCTATCAGTGCCCATCATTGTTGCATATCAGTGCCAGCTATCAGTGCGGCCTATCAGTGCCCGTCAGTGCTGCCTATCAGTGCCTGTCAGTGCTGCCTATCAGTGCCTGTCAGTGCTGCCTATCAGTGCCCATCAGTGCAGCCTCATCAACGCATATCAGTGAAGGAGAAAAATTACCTGTTTGCAAAATTTTATAATAGAAACAAAGAAAAACTTTTTTTTTTTTCAACATTTTTGCTCTTTTTTTTGTGTATAGGTCAAAAAATAAAACACCCAGCAGTGAGTACATACCACCAAAAGAAAGCTCTATTTTTGTGAAAAAAAAATGCTACAAATTTCATATGTGTGCAGTCTTTGCATGACCGTGCAATTGTCAAAGTGCGACAGCGTTGAAAGCTGAATATTGGCCTGTGCACGAAGGGGGTATAAGTGACTGGTAGACAAGCGGTTAATCTGCCTATTGTTTAACTTTAAATATAAACTGCACTTTGCCATGTATACAGTATGTAGTTTTTACCCTATAACTCAATATTAGTTTTATAATATGTGGTACTTCTTTTTTTTTTTCTTTCCCCTGCAGTCTCTACTTTAACGAACTGTCAGATGATGGTCTCCGTGCCCTGAAGCCTGTGGGGGTCAAAGTCCTTGTATCTCTTACTGAGGGAGCAGATGCATCACGTCACTGGCATGTAATATTAAAGGAGCTGCGGGCCAATGTTGGAGGCTGGGATCATGCACGCATTAGTGCCCACCTCACTCTACTCTTGCGGGATCTGCAGCAGAGCCGGGCACTAACTAAAAGTCTGTGGCGCAAAGCACGGATTTTTCGTGTAGAGACTGAAGTGAAACGTATGCTGGGCAGAATTCAGCAGGGAACACTTTAAAAGCAATCAAAATGCAATTTGTTGTTTTCCAGCGCTGTTTGATTCAGATACTGACTGTACAGGTAAAGGTCACCTCCAAGAAATGGTATACATGTACTGGGTGTGTTTGCAGCATATATGTACAATTGTGTCAGCCGTGTTTATCAGCTTCATGTTACATAAGCAATAGAAGATGTATGTCTTTTTGAACTAGTACTCCTAATACTTTGTGCATACAAGGGAGTGGTGGCCATTTGCACATTTTGAATGGCTTTATGAAAAGCTTTTAAGTGTCAAGCATTGTTTACTCTATTGTTAAAGCTTCACTTTGTTTTTTATTTTTAAATAAACACCTGGTAATTTGTTTTTCTTCATGGATTTATTTATAATGACAGTGGGTATAGAAAAGAATCACCCCCCCCCCCTTTAAATTGTCACATTTTGTTGCTTTGCAGTCTGAAATGAAGATAGAAATACAGTTTTTGTTTTAGCCAGCTGTATTTACGCGCTGCAACTGAAAGATGCAGAAACACATCCAACTGAAAGATATAATAACATCAACATGTGAGGGAAAAAAAAAACTAAAAACAGAAGTTCGAAAAAGATCACCTTCCCTCCTAAAAATGACTTGTAAACGCAGTCAGGTGTAGCTAATCACCTTCTCAATGGCACAGAAATCCATTTGACTTTCAACTGTGATCAGCTGTGGTCATTTTGATTAACTCAGCATGAAGAGCGTTCCTGGAGCATTTCAGTCCATGGTAGTGCAATTGAAGCATACAATCAACTATGGGTGGCAAAGCACTGTCAAAAGATCTCTGGGATAAAGCTGTGGACAGGTACAAGTCAGTAGATGGATACCAAAAATTTCAAAGATGTTATCAATGCTTAGAAGCACAATGAAGTCTATTTTAAGAAGTGGAAGGTATTTGGTACAACATGGACCCTCCCTGGATCAGGATATTGCTCCAAACTGGATGAAAGAGCCAGGAGGAAACATGTATGCATGTGACAACAAGATCACAAATTCTCCACAAATGTGGCTTGTATGGGAGGGTTGCAAGAAAAAAAGCCATGCTTCAAGAAAAGCCACATGCAGTCACGGCTGAGCTTTGTGACAACGCACCTTGAAGATTCTGAGGCCACATGGAAAAAGGTGTTATGTTCAGATGAGACTAAAATTTAATTATTTGGCCTCCACACCAAACGATACTTCTTGTAGAAATCCAATACAGCTCACCATCCAAATAACACCATTTCTACAGTAAAGCATGGAGATGGTAATATCCTGTTATGGGGGTTTCTCTGCAGCAGGGATGGGAGCACTTGTCGGGATAGAAGGAAAAATGGATTGGCCAAAATGCCTTTTGGACAATACCCTTCGAGGACGAGCTTCCCTTTTAGCAAGTACCTTGATGAATATATTAAAGTGGCTACTGATGAGAGAGGGTTCCATTTGCATTTTGTATATCCTACTGTGCAGTTCTCAACCAGTGCGCCCCTCTCAGATGCAATCATAATCTACTGAGGTCCTCACTGTCATGGCAAACCTTCCCTGTCTAAGTCAACTGGAGCTACTAAACAGTATTTTTCATACTACGGGTTCTTATGGAGTTGTGTCTACACACACTTGCATCAATTTAAAAACATGAGACATCAAAAAATTATTATTTTTTTACTTTGCCAGGAGATGCACAATTACTCCTAATTGCTGTCCTCTCCTTACCAAGTTAGTTCCTCTCAGCTTCTACTCATTTGGGAAAAGAACAAGATTTTTTAACCCTATTCAACTTTAGTGTTACAATGGGTGTAAGCATTCTTTTCATACCCTAGCCAAGATTTCAGGGTTTACCAACCCCTGCATAGGAAGTCCTGTCCTTGAAGAGTTACATACTGCATTGCACAATATGCATTGGTATCTTTACTTTGCTGGTCCAGGGTGCCCCCTCACACAGCCATGTTCTTAGACTTGTAAGACTCCTGTATATCTGTGTCCTAATCTTTGATGCCAGAGATATTCCTTTGCATTCACAGAGGGCATTTTGTGGGTTAATTTCCTTTCTGTTTACCTTTCTGTATAAACCTTTTCTTATTCTCCTAAAGACAGCATAGGATGGGTAACTCTTTCTCTGGCAAAATTCTAATCCTCTTAATCTCCTGTACTCGAGGAGGTTATTTACCTAACCTGGAACACGACTACCCTGTTCTGCCATGATATGTCTTCCCTGGCTTAACCTCCAGGCCCTGCCCTGAGCTCCAACACACCTTATTTCCTATCCCTTCCATTGCTTCAGTTTTCCAAATGCTGTTACTGGGATAAGGTGTTTAGTCTGCCTTTCCCTGGCTTGGTCTCAACTAGTCTCAACCTCGATACAAGATACACTATTGCCGAATTGGACCAAAAATGATTTAAATCTCTCTGGTTCCGGGGTTTTCTAGGTGGTTCTCCTTCCTCTCCACTTATGGTCCATAGCAACTTCAGCATTGTACTCACCCCATTATCCTTAGCCTATGAATGCCTGACAGCCTGGGCGGGCAATATAATAATATTCTTACCCGCCCCTCGGTATTCCTTATGTTAGTGCATTTCTTCCTTACATTGTATGCCTCCTTTTATATCCCCATCTGGGAACCAAATGATTCTCCTGCTTGATATTTTTTGGAAGAAAAGCTCTGCCTAGGTGGCTAAAAAAAAAAGAAACATCCCGAGTTCCTTACTAGTCTCTCATACTCTATAGAGCCTAATTGGCCTTATACACCCCTTTCCTATTTGCAACCTTTTACTATACAGGGTTCTTCCTTGTCACCTGGTGGGACTTCTACATGACCTCGTGGCTTCCCTTCTGAGCGGACCCTATAAAGATCCAATCCTTTTTTTCTGTTCCCATCAACAGCGGTGACCGACCTTGGACTCTTCTTCAACTTGAGATAGAATAGCCTGGAGACTGGTGTTCTCCTTTCCTCCATGATGTTTCTTGTTTTCCCTTGAAACCTGCTTCATTTTCCTGCAATATCCTGCCAAATGGCACAACATTTCACCCTCCTTTAAAGTTGGAAGTCAGGTATGACCTGTATGGGTATCTATGGCTATGCATGTCTCCAAGAGAACATGCCATCCTCCAACCTGCCTGGGTGGTCATTTTAAAATCCAGTTCTTAGGCCCATACAGCATCCAAGAGTCTACACCTTTGAGCAGACCCACTGCCTAAATTTTGTTTCACATTTTGTCCCCTACCATTGGTTGCTAGGTGTTCAGTATATGCTGTTTCTCTTACAGTAAATTGTTTCTATTGTCAACTATTTGTTTCTATGCCAATTGGCCTTCCTATTTTCTTCCTGTGGGCCTGTTGTGGCTCTTTAGCTGCAAACCCCTCATTTAATATTTGGAGATGTCCGATGGTTTATAAATTGATTCCTGTTTCCTGTACTGTACAATAAAGATAAGAGGAATTTTATTGTACCTGTAAATTCCATATCTTGGAGAACAGTACAGGACATAGGTTCCTCCCCTTTCTTCTCTGTGACATCTCTGTTACTTGCTAACAAAACTGGAGCCTCACAGAGTAGGCGGTGTTATATAGGGACACTAAGGGAAAGATCCAGCAAAGCTTTTGCCAGTGTCCAATCACCTGAAGGTTGCGGCATATGGCCCATGGTCTATCAATTGATTCATGTGTCTTGTACTAAAATTTACAGTTATTTTAAAATTCCTCTTTTTGTTGGTCATGAGGAGGACTTGTCAGGCCGCATGTGGTAGGTCCAGATATACAGTAGGTCTGGATAGATACAACAATAGCATAAAGAGTAATTACTAGCTTCAGAGAGTCCCCCATAAGCAGCATAAGTGCAAAAATGACTCTGAGAGCACTAACTGGCTTCATAACTTACTAGTCTAATGGTGTGGGCAAGGGACATTGTAATTAAGAGGCAAGCTGGGGTCAACAGGAGAAGTAATCAAGCAGTACCATAACAGTATACAGGATCCTAGTCAGAAAACAGCCCAAGGTAAGCAACCGAGTTAGAACACAGAAGCATAAGTAAACACACTGGAACAAGGGAACAGGAACACTGGAATCAGGAACTTACCTTTCAGAATATGGGAACCAACAGTCTGGAGCTGTAGCCAATGGTAGCGTACATCACACAATGACTTGATTGCATCTGGAAGTCAGAAAGAAACTTTTAATGGTTGATGACTACATGTGGAGCAGGTTCAGAGCTGCAAGGTAATCGGTAAGGTCAGACAATGCAATACTAGTAATGTCATATGATGAGCACTTTGACATAAATATTACTCCTTTAAATAATTTGCTGGAAAGCACCTAATTTGGATTCATAGTTACACAGTTAGTCTGATAAAAGACAAAAGTCCATCCAGTTCAACCATTAAAAAAAAAAAAAGTTATAATCCTATACCCACAGTTGATCCAGCAAAGCATGACCTAATTTGCTGCTGTAGAGCAAAAAAAATTCCTTCCTGATCCCCCCTAGAGGCAATCGATATTCCCTGGATCGACTTTACCTATAAATGTTAGTAACCAGTTATATTCTGTGTATCCAAGAAAGAATCCAGTCCTTTTTTAAAGCAATCCACTGAGTTGGCCAGAACCAACTCTTGAGGGAGTCTATTCCAGATTTTCACAGCTGTGAAGAAACCTTTCCATGTTTGGAGATTAAATTTCTTTTCCTTCAGACATAAAGAGTTCCCTCTTGTCCTCTGTGATGACCTCAGGGTGAAAAGCTCTACACCAAGTTCACTCTATGAACCACTGATGTATTTATACATGAAGATCATATCCCCCTTAATCTCTTCTTCTCAAGAGAGAATAAATTCAGTTCCTCTAATCTTTCCTCATAGCTGAGCTCCTCCATGCCTCTTAGCAGTTTGGTTGCCCTTCTCTGTACTTTCTCCAGTTCCCCAATGTTCTTTCTGTGAATTGGAGCCCAAAACTGAACTGCATATTCCAGATGAGGTGTTACTAATGATTTGTACCGGGGTAATATGATATCTCTCTCTCTGG